AGCTAATTGAAGGTAGAGAGGCTCAAGCACTGTGGCCTTTGCACTTTTGCTCCTTGGAATGGAACTGGTGTCCTTCTAACAAGAATAACCACTGTTGCAATTCAATGGCAGCCGAACGAAGAAACGCTAGACAGTGGGAATGCAATGGGTTTGGAGTTTTATCCTTTTACTGGCTGCCACCACTTCTGTATGGCGGCACGGAGATATGCTGGGATACAAACAAAGGGAGCATACAGTGCTGATACAGCAGCACCTGCTTCCAGGTTTACTGGCAGGTGATATATAATTAATTCATGTTATAGTTACTGCAGGACTCCCAAAGGAAAAGTTCGCAAGCGAGCCTTTCGAGAATACAACAGTGCTTTTGGACGAAGAGTCCCAAAAAAAAAAAAAAAAAAAAAAAAAAAAAAAAAGGATAAAAAAGCGGCAATGCAGATATATTCACTTCAACATACTCAGCGAAAATTATATGAAAAAAGAACGGACGTATACATATGTACCGTACCTAGGCATGTATCTTCAACTCTATCAGACACATCATCTTCCACAGAGACTATTAAAGGGAGTAGACGCAAAATGAGAGAGAGAGAAACGAAGACGTGAAAGAGCATTATGTCCCTCCCTATTCTTCGTATTTTCTTTGTGAAAAAGAAAATGATTTGCTGTTGGCATGGCTTTTGACCTCGAGACATCATTGTGAAAGGACGAACGAGACTTCGATGATGCCGTGTTGGTTTTTTGGTTTGTTAACCCGCACCTCTTTGGTTGTCATTCTGGAGGGTTATTTTTTTGGGTTTTTTTTATTCATGTTCATCATTTCATATAGATCTGTAGATAGATATTAAAGACGCCTTGTGCCTGGTTAGGATCTATGTCATAGACTGGCAATGGGGAGATATTGACGAAATGTGTTGCTGCAAACAAACCACCCTGTATTTGGGGGGAAATAACAACGAAAACGACCCCGAGCCGGATATTATTCATGGAGGAATGTAAAAATCACAGCATCGGATATGGTTCTCTTCGCTTAGCCTTTGAAATAACGATGCGGTACCATTCCAAAACCCAAGTATTATTCACAAATTCATCCCGACGTCGCCTCCGGCCTATGAGCGCAGTAGGCCGAACACACAGGATGGAAGAAAACGAATCGGGGAGGCAAAAAACAAGAACGAAATTATGATATATTGATAGAGATTTATTTGCCCAAAAAGCGAACCCATCAATCGACACGTCAGGCGGTCAATACTAGCACACCCGAACAACAGCTGGGATTAGAACGGGCAACATTCTGAAATCACTCTCGGTCCCTTCTGTAATTTGCAGAGGTAACAGAGGCAACAATGATTACCACAACAAGGGTATGTTGGAGACCTGGAAATATGTGTGAAGGAAAAAAAAAAACGAGGAATCAAAATTGAGAAATTGGGTAGTCAACAGTTAGGGTGTTGTGTGCATTAGCTAAGCAAGACGGCGAGTACTTAACAGCAGCACCCATCATCAGGAGCCTATCGGACGATTATATTCTTCGTCTGAATAAATGACTGGACAAATTATTAGCATTATGTTCTGCATCTATTCTAAAAAGGGAAATATAATTACCAATGCCATAGGGTTGGCAAGATTTTAATGAAGATA